TCTAATTCTTTAAGGCCCCTATATTATGGTTTAGCTCAGGCTGGTGGTTTAGGGCGCGGCTTGCAGCAATCTTCGTGCTCCACAGGCGCTGATTTGGGAAGATGCTCCAAACCGACGCTAATGTAGGGGCCTTAAGAATTGGAATAGGGTTTTGGGGGGTTTAGGGGTCCAGGGGTCTAGGGGTTTAGGGTTTAGGGTTTGGGGGTTCCTTATTATATTTATAGTATACTATACCCCAAACCCTATTCTAATTATTGAGGCCCCTATATTAACTCACCCTGACAACGGCCATGACAAAGAGGCGAAGAAACAGTTTTACTCATAGAAAAAGACAGAGCGACATCAACATGGCAATGATAAACCTAGCACTTGTGCGAGTGTGAAGCAAAGGCTGGCGACCCACACATCAGCAACAATTACTGCACCAGCGCGTCGAAGTCCGAAGACACATTCAACGGTGCGAGGAAGCAACCGTCTGAGAAAAACGTCATAATGTAGGGGCCCATTATACTATAACTAGAATAAGGAATCCCCCAAAATAGTATAGGTATTTATTCAGGCCCCTACATTACTCTATACCCCCAACTCGCGACAACCCGCAAGCCCGAAGATGCTAAGTGGCTAGTTCTCGAAAGTAGTGTCCCTGTCTGAAGAAAGGGCCCCTAAGAGGTTTAGGGTTTAGTGTTTAGGGTTTAGGGCGGCCCCCCTTGAAGAAAGGGCCCTTAAGAGGGACCCTATTCTAGAGAACTCCCCATGTAAAACCCTAAACCCTAAACCCTGGTTCAAGGCACTGCAGGGCCAGGTTCGCTGGCTGAGCTGACCTCAGCGTTGCAGGCCGTCTTGCGGCATTTGACGGGTCCACCTATAGTCTTCACTGACATTCCTTCTCTGAGCGATCCCAATTATAGAATCGGTTATAAACCAAAAAGGGGGAAATAGAATGGAGACGATATGTAGCCATTTAAGGCCATGGGGCTACCTGTTGAGGGTTCGACTCACTGAGTGAAGCTGTGTGCGCTGGTTTGACTTCGGGGTCTCCCGGAATACAAGCTCATGCAGTTAAGCTTCCAGATGTTGTAGAGGCAAGTAGATAGTGATAGCAGGACCAGGGGCATCAGCAAAAGAAGCCGAGGCAAAGGTAGGATGGTCGAAATACCTTTCACTAGTATTGGGAGCCATCCTTGTTATCGTCATTGTCGTCGTCATCTTCGCCGTCGTCGTCGCCACCCCACAGCCCCCACGGCCGCCGTTATCTTCGTCGTTGTCTTGCGTAGTGGTCGTCGTCGTAGTAGCAGTACCAGCAGCGGTGACAGCAGTCGTAGTAGTAGTAGTAGTAGTAGTAGTAGTAGTAGTAGTAGTGGTAGTAGTGGTAGTAATGGTAGTAGTAGGACTAGTAGTAGTAGTACTAGTAGTAGTAGTAGCAGTAGTAGTCGTCGTCGTAGTCGTAGCAGCAGCAGGAGTAGTAGTAAAAGTAGTAGTAAAAGTAGTAGTAGTAGTAGTAGTAGTAGTAGTAGTAGTAGTGGTAGTAGTGGTAGTAGTGGTAGTAATGGTAGTAGTAGGACTAGTAGTAGTAGTAGTAGTAGTAGTAGTAGCAGTAGTAGTAGTCGTCGTAGTCGTAGCAGCAGCAGGAGTAGTAGTAAAAGTAGTAGTAAAAGTAGTAGTAGTAAAAGTAGTAGTAGTAGT